CACACAAAAGGGAGAAAGATTCCCCTCTGTTTTGTTTCGCACAGATACATGTATTAATATAGTCTATTGTCACATTTTTTGATTAATTCATTCAACTGATCAATTCGTATTCTACGAATTCGTAAAATAACGGCGAAGTGAGGTGAGAAGTAGACGAATCTATCTATTTTTAATCTCAGAGAAAAGCGTCCTGTCCCTGACATCAATTCGTATTTTACAAATTCTATTTATGTATTCGTCGGTTATGCTTTGGCATCTATGGATTCACATTTTCTCGTATTTTTGCCAATTTACGAATTCGCACACGACTTCTTGGGGACCAAAATGATCATTTCACGAATTCGTCGATGGTCGACCAATTCAATTTACGAATTTGTAGGTACCGGAAATTTCTTTCTTACGAATTCGTCCTAATTTATGAATTGGCCAAAGCAAGAAAAGAGGCAATTTTTTCGTTCGTTTTTGATCATTTTTGTCAGTTCGCATTGCATTACGAATTCGCTGCAAATTCGCAAAACAATGATAAAATGCGAATTGTCGGCGATTCGCCGCATCAATTGGCCTTGTGCAATTTGAGGTCCCCGAATTTCAACGATTGTCCCCCATTTATTCTTATTGATCGACAATTGTAACTCGACTGCCCACTTTTGAATTTGGCTGACTTTCTCGAGTTCTTCGAACAAACTCTTCTCCCAATCAGTATTCAATCGAATGTTTATTGGAGCGAAATTCTGAGCGAGCATGGAAGCAGCCAGACTTGTCTTCTGAGGGCTTCCGTGACAGAATTTACAGCATTTTCCAAAGTTCGGAATATTTTTTGATTCGGCATACGCCAAATTTGCCACTAATACGATCAACAGTTTGTTTTAACCTTTTTTTTTATTTAAATCGAAGCATCGCGCATCATGTAATGACGCAATTGAGATCTGTTTATGTTTTCCCAAAGCATGTTTCACTATTGTCCATCACTTTTTTGATGAGTTATTCACATTTGTTATTCACGATTTGTAATCGTGAATAGTATGCCTGTTTGACTTGGATACATTCTTTCTCGAACAAAGACGCTGCAGTCAAGTATAACTACTGATCAATTGCGGCTTGACTTTTAGCATATTTCTGATACAGTTTCTGTTTGTTTGCTTTGACTTTTCGTAGTTTATTAGTAAACCACGGTGCATCATAAGAAGAGATAGTTATCATCTTGTGAAGAATACATTCATCTAGCATTGTTGCTGTGCACCAAGTAGACACCTCTTTCCGTTCAAGTTCAAGTAGAGTTCCAAAAATAATGTCTCAAAATCAGGATTCTCCAAAGTGTCACAGCGTTTAGCTATAATATCATTGCGAACAAAAACCAACAAACCTCCGTCACCTTTCCCTACGCGATCAGTGACGTATCGGAGACTAATAATTACCTACCAACAACATAGAGCTGTCAGTGGTTCTACCTAACCAAGACTCGGTCACTACAACTGCCATGAGTCTAGAAGTGTTTATCATATTAACAAACAAGTCAAACTTCAGAGGAGAAAGAGGACTTTTTGGATTCTCATCTAGTTTTCCCATTATACTGTTAGCGTTAAGAAGAAGAATCGAATCCGACACGTGTTGATGTTTTGTTAAGAAATTACGTGACGCCATCGCGTCGAAGGAAAAAGACTCCCCACACACACCGCGTCGACTCACAGCACAACTTCCACAGCACAAAAGATAAACCGAAAAAAATAGTACAATCACACAAAAAATTAAAAAGAGGATCAGTAGTTTTTGTAGGCTTCTGATGAAGGAAAAAGAGAAAGTTTTGTACATACTAACCTAGTTCGTATACTCGACAGTTCATTGGATACTGTCAATTTGATCAAGTGAGGAAATTAAAATATTCTTTGCACTGGCCATATAATAATAGACCAACCCATTCCGAATAAAGACGCGTAGCTTATCCAATTTTTTCCTTATTATTATTTATTAATGTTAAGTGCTCATTGATGAACACTTGTTTATAATTTTGCATCTCTTTCAGCTGTTTACGTTTCGAATATATCGCTTGACGGTCATCAGCACGTACAAAACTTACAATTATTGGTTGAGTAGAATCTATACGGCGAACAGGTAGTCGATGTGTGGTGTAGATTTCTTTAACGACAATTTTCATGCCAAGAGATTTAGTCAGATCTACAGTAATTGACGTTGTATCTTCCCTTTGCTTCATAGGAATTCCTGTAATAATGAGATCTCGCCGTTTGCTATATTGTTCAGTGTCATTCAATTTATTTGTTAATTTCACGATTCGCTCATTTGCTACTTTCAACTGCTCTTGAACATCTTTCGCCTGCATGTCAACTCTTTGATGAATTACCTCTGAGATCCCATGCATGAATGATTCTGACATAACAATACCTTGACAAAATTGCCCCACGAAATCGACTGATAACAATGTTTCCTTAATAGCATTAATAAGTCCGTCACTCACTAACGATTTCTGGAGAAGTTTATCAGTTTCCACCCCACCCATTATTGGGGCTTCCGCACCTTTTTGTTTTTTCTCTCAATTTTTTAAAAAAATAATTCCCCACCGGGGGCCCGGGTTTTTTTTTTTTTTTGTTTTTTTTTTTTTTTTTTTTTTTTGATTATTTTTGATTCGCCGCATAATCGTCATACATGTGGCATCGGTATTTTGTAGAATTTTATTGTTCAAGCCGTTCTCGTTGCTGTGTTTAACTCGGCATATACACCATTTTGCTTGTTTGTTGCACATTGGACACTTTCCGTGAGTGTCTTTTGCACCGGCATTTTTCCATCCATTGTAAACCGAGTAGAGATGAATAAGATCACTTTCATAACTGTGTGCTTGAAGAGCAACACGCGCCTTTTGCTTTCTCCTTGGCTTTCCGCGTCGCTCTACCCATGAAGACGATTGTTCCGGGCGCCGAGAGAATAGCAACAATGCGAGCGGCGATTGGTAGCATGCTCTCATATTCCATGTAAATGTCGACTATGAAATCACTCAAACGGGGATCGAAGCCTAGTTCGGTTAACAGTTCGCCTCTTTTCGTGATCTTCTGCCCATCCAAACACGCGAATCTGGTGAGAAGAACAATAGAATTATCTATAACATCGTTCTTTGGCTTTATCCATGAATGGAAATGTTTTTGGATCAAGATTGAGTCGCACAAGGTAGAGGAGAATGAGCTCAAGCGATGATCGTAAAAGTTCTGGTTCGATATTCGGTCGCTTCAATTCAACATCTGCGTACAAACGCACACAGTGGCCAGATGCCGTTCGTCCAGCTCTTCCTTTTCGTTGATCAGCCGACGAGCACGAGATGTGCACAGTTTCGATAACGGTTAGACGTTAAAACGAGCTTCTTTGGCCAAGCCTGAATCGACACCTAACCAGACGTTTGGAATAGTCAGTGATGTTTCGGCTACATTTGTGCAGAACACGACCATTCGTTTCGCCGCTTCATTAAATTTCAATACTTTCTCTTGATCTTCTGGCGACTGTGATCCGTAGAGTGGAAAAGCGATACAGTTATCGGAAAGTTTGGATTTGAATGTTTCGAGTGCTCTTTCAATTTCCCCTTGACCATGAAGAAAGACAAGTATGTGATGACGAGGGTAGAGTTCGACAACTGTGGGAATAATATGTGATTCGATGAGTCGTTGATCTGAGTTATTAGGAGGTGGTGGCTTGTTAATCGTTGTAACAGGGAAAACTCGTCCTTTCACATCGAGGGGTGCGCTCGCCGACCGATCGAAGAATTGAAGAAAACGAGCAGGATCGATCGTAGCTGAAGCGATAACAACATAGAAGTCATCCGGACGTTGTGCAAGTAGAAGTTTCGAAATACTGATGATTATATCTGTGTTTAAAGAGCGCTCATGAGCCTCGTCAATAATAAGAATACGAACATGTTTTAAATGAGAATCATGCTGACTCTCACGAATAAGTGCAGCATCAGTCATGAACATAATACCATTTCCTCGCACTCCATTTCCGTTGCCTACTTGATGCCCGACAGATTCACCCACCGATACTCCTCAGCGACACGACGAGCCAAAGAGAGAGCAGCAACAAGGCGCGGTTGCGTACAGATGACGAGCGAGCCAAATGTTCAGCAGCATACTGAGGTAACTGAGTGCGCTTACCGCTGCCCGTTTCGGCTGTCACAATCAGAACACGTTCGCGTTCGAGGCGTTGATAAAATTCAGATCGACAAGCGAGGATAGGCAATGGAGCTTTCTCGCGATCGATTATTCTTTATGTTATGCTTATTAATGGGTAAAAATTTTAAAGCTATAGAGATAATAACAGCAGCTATTTTTAATTCCATTATTCAATTTTTTATTAAAGTTCGACGTTTCGAAAATACAATTTTCATTTTCAAGAAAAACAATAGATGACAAGACTATAACGTAACGTTAGAGTCAAAAATATAAGTTCTACGGATATATACATGTGTTTATATATAAAATTCTAGACAGTGAAAGAAATGAAAGAAAGAATATTATGTGAAAATAGACAAGTTATAACATTGAAACAGACGAGTATGTCACAATTAGACAGTTAAGATGAATAAAAACAGAGGAGAAAATACTACTGGAGAGAAAATATAATTTCACTCTAATATGAATACTATTCAACCTCCTGGATCTGGAACTAGTTGTTTTGATGCTCCTCAAAATCGGGTGTGAGCGGACTGGCGGGTGGAGATAATGGTGAAAGTATAAGAGAAGTCTTTCGTCGTGCATGAGCGAGAGGACAGTCGAATTTTGAACAACAGTCAAAGTTTTGACACCTTGCATGACGATATTTGCATTCACCATCCTTATATCGACAGATTCCTTTATTCGTAAAAGGACAGGGTGGACGTTCGTAGTCGGCATTTTCCTCCGTTATCGAACCTGCGGTGGATGGTCCCGGAATCGCGAAAAAAACAGCTTTTTTCATTTTAACAACATAAAACAGGGAGGAAATGGTGTTTCCCCCCATCCTCAAGATAGTTTTCCAAGAACCCGATCGACGAATCTTACTGTATAACCAACATAACTTATTCTAGATTCCAGGAATTTTAGAATCTTAGTCTCGCACACAGCGCACAAAAGTGAAGCAACCGGAGTTGAACGGGAGTTGAGATTTTTATTGATGGAGTTGGAGTTGAAGAATTTTGAGCGGAGTTGGAGTTGGATTGGAAATTTGAAAACGGAGTTGGAGTTGAAATTCAGCGGAGTTGTCCAGCTATGAGTAAACATATCCGAAAAATATTTGTGTAAAAAGACGTGAATTTTGGTCATTTAGTTTACTTATTACTCTTCGATGGTAGAAACTGAAGTGGTGATCACCTTTCATCAGTTCATTGCATTCAGCAAATCTCGGTATAGTTCAAATTTTCAACCACTTGCAGTTCTTAGACTTCTACAATATTGTACCACTCTAGGCGACTGTTAGGTTACTACTACTATTAGATTGTTAGGTTAATTTCGCTGATTAATCGCGATATGATTCGAAAGTATGTATGTTGAAATAATCGAAAACATAATAATTATCACTATAAAAACCATGATTCCAAAACCAAATAGAACAAATACTGTTAACATCAAGCAAAGTAGCTGTCGTGGTCTCATAGCTAAACAGAATTATGTACTTGTATGACAATGCAAAAGAAGCAGTCTAACAAAAACTTCGTCACTATTCAATAAACTTAAGTAGTTTAGCCTTTCAGAGACGAATCTATTGACACGATCAACTGCGCCTCTTACATTCATGCAGCTTGTTTAAGGTTCTGTCGTGTGAGTGTATGCTTCCAATACTACAATCCATTTAAAAATAAAATGCGGTCCTCGGGCAAATTTCAAGACTTTCGAATGAAGAAAGGCGGTAACTTGCAGTTTAAAGGAAAAGCTGTGCGTTGATCTTGGCCATCTAATGTCAAGAACTGCAGATCGACGTGTCTTCATCTAAAAGGTATTCAGTCTACCATGAAACCGCCTTTTATTTTCGAATGAACTTTATGTTAATAATTTTGTTAAGGCGCTGCTAATTCGAAGGTCGAGCACTATTATATTTTTGGCTTATTTTTATACTACTCGATAGAGCTCGACTAGCTGATCAAGAAGCTTTACATTTTAGCTTAAAAAAATTGAGTTTTGAATGAAGAATCTTCAAAATACTAGAAGAGTCTCAAGTTTCGAAAAACCCTTTGGTTTCAAAAAAGTTCAAATATTTTTTGTTTTCGTTCTTCTAACTTTTCGAGAGTATCTTTTTCGGATTCAGCATTAAAAACTGAGTATGAGAATGATGTTTGATTGAGGTTGACGTAAACGGTTTATCCAGTATACACGCCTTGGACTCACCCCGTAAAAATGTCGTAAACAACTTTGCAAACCTATCCAGGTTTTTTGTAAAGACATGAAACCGACTTTTTTATTTTATTAGAACCGCC